AGTGCAATTAGTTGGGTTAAGTTTTAGCTCGTACTTCCTCAATCTCAAGAACAACTTCCTTAAGACCACAACATGTTCTTCTTCAGTCTGTGATTTGGCAATCATGTCATCCACATATACCTCTATCTCTTTCTGTATCATATCGTGGAATAGAGTAACATGGCTCGTTGATACATTGCCCCTATATTCTTTAGTCCGAAGGGCATCACTTATAAAAAAATGTACCACACATGGTCAGAAACATTGTTTTTTCCATATCATCAGAGTCTATCTTGAATTGGTTATACCCTGAGAAGCCATCAATCAAGGAGAAATAACGTGTCTAGTTGTATTGTCAACTAGTGTATCAATATGTGAAAGTGATCAATTATCTTTGGGACTTACTCGATTGAGATCTCAGGTAGTCAACACACATTCGAACTTTCTCATCTTTTTGCATAACTGACACTATATTTGCTACCCATTCAGGGTACTTGGATACTTGTAGGAATTCAACATCGAACTGTTTCTTCACATATTCCTTTATTTTTAGCAACATGTATGGTATCATCCTTCGAAGCTTCTGCTATACTGGTTTGCATTCTGGCTTTATTGGCAATTTGGGTACCACAATGTCAATATCCAAACCTGGCATGTCTTGGTATGACAAAGCAAATACATCTCTGAACTCAAGCAGAAGGTCTACAAGATCTTGTCTTGTTAAATAAAGAGAGCGAAGTACCAATCTTGACCTTATTTTTATCTTTATCTATCCCCAAATTCATTATCTCAGTATTCTCTTGATAAGGCAAAAAACTGTTTACTTTCTTGTTCGATCAATCTAACACGTTCAGGGTTCAATTCACATTCCACATCATCCTTATAACCCTTAGATTCATTTAGACATTTGTTATTTTCAAAATTAACCTTTGGTTCGGAAACATCATTACTCAAACAATTAATATCTGGAGACTTGCAAAGGGAAATGAATATATTCGAGCTAGAGACAATGATTTTTATACTTATCGAAAGAATGGATATAATACAAAAAATAAAGAATTAAATAAAATGGAATGAAGATGTCATGACGACTTTTTTCAAAGGCGTATATGGAATGAATTTAAACATCAGAATTAAGAATTGGAATTTTAGAAAAGATTTGAAATGTTTGGAGTCGCAATCAACATTTACGATTATGTAGGTCGAAAACCGAAAAATGCCCTTTTAAATAAAAATTTTAAAAAGATGTTATTTGGTATGCATTTTAGAGATTTTGGGTTTGGGAGTCGATTACACTTGGGGAAGGATTAGCACATCCACAATGCCCAAAATTGGTACCTTCAATTACGAATTTGTCCCTATATTGAAAATAAAAAGTTCAAATATTTATTTAATTAATTATCATTTTATTCCCTAAATAAAAATATTTTAACCTAATTAAGGTTTTTAGAAAAACACACAATATTTGTCTATTTCCAATTAAAGAAGAAACTAACCCCCTAATCGGAATTAAGACAAATATTTCTTATGTTTTAATCAAATAATGAAATATTGTCATCCTTAAAAATTAGAAAAATTAATTGATTATTAAACCCTATATAAAAGAAAAAGATTAAAAATAATAAGGATGTTCCTTGATTTAAAGAACAAAGGTCAAGCCTTTGACATTAATCAAACAACGTGTTCTTAACAATTTAAACGTAAGAACAAGCCTCTACCCTTTTGTTTTTAAAATTAATGAACCTATTTTATTTTGGGTGACCACTGGTAGAATATTTATTTATTTAAAAATATTGAAAAAGAAATGTCTAGATACATTAAGACCATCCTTTTCAATATCTAAAAATAAATAGATATTATGTTTTAATCAAATTATGAATTTAATGATTGATTTCTAATTAATTTTATTAAAGAAACTAATCGTAAAAGGATATTGCTAATCCTTATTAACTTCTAATTAAAGAACCTAAAACTAAGGCTCTACTTAATTAGTGACTAAAACTAAAGAAAATAAAATCTAAGGTTTTAATTAAAAAGCTAAAGGTTTAATTTTAGTATTAGTGACTAAATTAGGAGATTTAAAAATCTGAAGGTTTTAAATTTGGTTTAAACTTGTGACTATTGTAAATAATTAAAGAATTATCATTCAATATTAATAATTCAACACATCTAATAAAATAATAAAAGCAATTAGAATGAAATCAATGGCTAAATTGAACTCAATCTAAATTCAGAGTACAATGTACAAGCATTCAGGGAATAAAATAAAATAAAGCAAAAGACACATCCCGAACCAAAAACACGCTAGAAATAGGGTGTTTTATTGAAATAATTTGCCCAAAAGTTTACCCAATATAAAAGACAAAATTTTAGAACATCTCTCATTTTATGTCTTCAAAATTTTATCCTCCCCCAAATTCTCTCAACCTTTTCAAAATTACACCCCAAACTCTCTCAAATTCTTTGAATGTTCATCGTTGTTCATCCTAAAACCCCACTTTAATCCTCCACAAACACTAAACACCACCCAAAATATGTTTTTCAAGATCAAAGCCCAAAACTTCCTTAAGAACACAAACATGTTCATCCATCTTTTCTCTTTTCAATTCAAACTAACACCAAATCATTTCTTTGTTTTTTCAAATCAAAAAAACCTTCACCTCCTTTCTTTTTCTAAACCCAAGAACCCAAGAACACTATTCTAAAAAAAACCCAAGTGTTCTTCATCATAAAACTAAGAACCTTGGTTCATAAGAACCAAACCCCTTTCTTCCCCACTTAGTTATTCGAGACCACTCAACCATCAAACTCTGGCCGCCACCGGCCACCACCGGCCAAACTCTGAACACCAACCATTAGACTCCCACCGGTGACCGAAAAAATATAAAGAAAAACAAGGTGAAAAAAACCTCACCTTTAAACAAAGCTTAAATCTTCGGTGACCGACTCCTCCATGAACAATGAGCTTTCTTACTTTTCTCCTTGCTTTCTCCAAATATTAGTGTGGTTTGGTTATTATCTTGATGATTGGTTGATTCCATAGTGATTAGTGTTAATGATGAGTCTCCCTTTTTATATTGATGAACTTTATCTTTTGATTTAACCACTCTCGCTCAACATCCATTGCAAATCGGTTGAATAAACTTATTTGTTCTAGATTCAAGAACATTCTTTAGTTCTAATTTTTTTGTGATTTTTTCATATTCGAAATGTGACCTGCAGTGCAGCGAGGAAGCGATGATGCACCGGCGAGCACTGTAGCCGGTAGGGATGCGCCGATGGGAAGTAAATAGTTACTTGGATGATGCAATCTTAACCGTTAGATCAAATCCATATCCAATGGTTGAGATTCTTTTGTACTTTTTCACTTAGATGGATGATGTGGCTCAATGAGAGCCTTTGGATCTAGCTTCTACTCCAAGAGCTCACATAGGTTGTGTTTGTTTGACATGGATTGAAGAAATGGTGACCCTTGGATGAAAGCTAATCCAGGGATGAGATCATTTTGGTTTTCTTCACATGGATTGGTGATGTCATCACCTCAAAAGCCACCCCAACAATAAATGATACATCTTTTTTGATTTGAAAGAAAATTCCCCCAATTCCCCCAAAATCGACGACTACCTTGTATTTAGGCCAGGGTTTTTTTTATTTAGTTATTTATGCATATATTTTGTAAAGATGTGTGGGCTACTATTTGGGCCTTTAAAAAAACAATGTAATGGGCTCAATATCTAATAAAAATGGACTCTTTTTATTTTTTTTGGTTTTTAATATTTATAAAGGAAAATAAAATGGGCTTATATTTAATATTAACCACTATTTTTTATATGCTAACTATATAATAGACTATATAATATGGACTTATTATTTATAATATGCTAACTATATAATGGACTATAATACGTACTATTTAATATGGACTATATGATATGCAATTATTTAATATGAACTATATAATATGCAATTATGGACTATGAACTATATAATATGATATATGATATATCTTCATTTAATATGAAAAACTATATATACTATATATTATATCTAAAAAACATTTATTTTTACTAAAATCCTCTATATTATTATATATAATGTACTATTTAATTAAAAAATGTCACATCACCACCCGAAAAAAATGGGTGATGATAGAAGAAAATACATCATTTCATTAAAAATAAAGATTAATAACAGTTTGCCCTTACAAAAGATCCATATTACTTTCGGGCAAAAGTAATAAGGTTGTTATCATGCATTACTCTAAAATTTGTTTGAAAAATACAAGAAGTTCTTCAACAATGTAATTATTCAGAGTGTATCTAGGAGGACATTGAAGAATAGATACCAATGAGCACTCCCCAGTAGAATTATCTATAATGGCATTGATGCTCAAATTTTCCATCAAGGCTTCAAACTCTACAACTTCCTCATCAAGCCACGGGTGTTCCAGCATATCCACCACAAAACCTCCAGATGAAAATGTCTTAGAAATGGGTGGTATAACCATAGGTCCCCAGGCAATATCCTCTCATCGTGCTCTAGCCTTTCTTCTTTCCCTGAGGTTTTGTGCATCTCTGACCCTGTCATGGTAGGTAAGCCTATACCCAATCCTAAATCAATTCTTTTTGGGTGTAGGGGCCAAACTTCAGTGATTTCTTGCAATCTCTTTCCCATACCTTTCCCAGCTTTGGCTCCTTAGGATATAGTCTCCTTCAGTTGCATCTTGGTATTTCTTGAAAGCTGGGGAGAAGGCATCCTCTTCCTTTTAGGGAAGAAAATAACATTGACAAACTCTAACAACTAGAATGATGATTCTAGTGCATTCTCATCTACCCCCTCATATGGTGCATCAGTGATGATAGAAGAAATAATATATTCTTCTGCTTTAATTGTCACCAAAGTCATATCGGTGATATAACAAAGCTTTTGATAGAGAGGAATGAACTACCTCAACAGTATGGATCCATGGCATTCCCAATAAGCATTTGTAAGTTGGATTGATATTCATGACTAAAAACTACACTTTAAACTTTACAGGGCCAACCTAGAGAGTTATTGTCATCATTCCCATGATCTTTTGTTCAGTGCCATCAAAGGCTCTCATGGTATTTCCATAAACCCTCATTTAGGAACTGTCCACTAGAAGTCTACATATTGTAGCATATGGAATGACATTTAAGACTGATCCATTATCAATTAACACTCTTGACAAGATAACCACTTTACAGTAGGCGGTGATATGCAATGTCTTGCATCTACCTTTGCCTTCTTTAAGTTTCACATCATCATAAAGTAAATGAAGTTGTCTGCAATTGATATGGTTTACCATCCTGTCTACATGCTCTATTGGTATGTCTTTTCCCACAAAGGTCTCATTCAACACCTTTATCAGTACGTTTCGATGCACCTCAAGATACAGAATGAGAGATAACATTGAGATTCGTGCAGGTGTTTTATGGAGTTGTTCTACAATGTTTTACTCGTTGTGCTTAACAAATTTTAATAAATCTTGAGCTTTCTCAATCTTGACAGGTTCATTCATCCTCTCTTCGTGCTCGTTGATTATAATAGCTCTTGCCTTTTCTGCTTTTCTAGGAGCGTAACACCTCCCACTCCTAGTGAAACCTCCAACCTCATCGACTTCTTCCTTTTTGTTCTCTGGAGCGTTGATCTAACATTTATAATTCCTTGGGACACTTTTGTTGCTATTGTAAACAAATGGTGTTGGTGTTTTTATCACCACATTTGGGATTGTATTTCCCTTGTTCACCTCATAACTTGGCTTGGATATAACCAGTATTGGTTTCTTTAATCTCTCTTCAGCCTTTCCCGAGCCTTCCTTGGAGGCATAAATATCTCTTTCATAGTTCATTGAACATTCTTCGAAGAATTCCAATTCCTTCATGTCTGTTAGTCTCTAGACCACTTGTTTGAACTCGTGACAATCTTGTATCTGATGACCATCCTCACAGTGATACTCACAGTAGCTCCTTAATCTTTGATCTAATGATTCTTTCATTAGGCGTAAGAGTCCTCTCACTATCATTTGCTCATACACCCATCTGAGTGGTGTTCTTACTTCATCGATCTTTCTCTTGATTACTTGGCCTTCGTCAACAACATTAATTCCTTGATTTTGATTGTTTGAAAGAGGATTTGCAGCAACACATGGTGCCTTTAATTCGTTGAATGATACCACCTTCCTTTTGATCAAATTTTCTACTATCCTTTTAAAGGCACACATTTCGATTGTATGCTTAGGATATTAGCGTGGTATTCACAGGTCTAGTTTTTATTATACCACTTAGGGAAAGGTGGTTCAATTGGTTTTACATATTTCGGCGACACTACATGTGCCTTGAAAAATCCTTGGAAAAGCTCACTGTATGTCATCAGAATAGGTATGAATGACATTATTTTGGTATTGTTCTTCCGTTTTACTGCTCCTTGAGATGTGAAATTTCCAGTTCTTGGCTTTCTCATAGAGAACCCACATTGTTAACTTTTTATTCCTTCTTTCTCATAAAGGGTTTATTCATTGAGCTCTATCCACCAGTAATTTGGCCTTTCTTCAATGCCCTCTTGATCATTTCCCCATACATGACTATGTTTGAGAAACTCTTTATGGCCACCCCTAGAATATTATCAATGTAAGGGGATTTTAATGTGTCGATGAACATTGTTATGAACTCCCTCTCGACCAGTAGGGATGAATTTGAGTAGAAATATATGTCCAGTGCTGAGCATATTGGCGAAAGCTTTTATTGGGTTTCATAACCATGTTCTGGAGAGTAACCCTATCAGGGATCATATCAATGACATGTTGGTATTGCTTTTTAAAGGCATTTTCTAAATCCTTCCAAGACCCTATCTTGGCATAGGTTAGCTGATTGTACCATCTTGCTGCAGATCCTGTCAAGCTTGCTTAGAAGTAGTGGATCAAGAGCTTATCATCCCTAAAAAAGCCGATCATTCTTCTACACAACATTGTCAGATATGTAGTGGGGTAAGTCTTACCCTCATACTTTTTAAACTCAAGCACTTTAAACTTGGGGGTAAGATTAGATCAGTCACCAGACTTAGTTCTACTGCTTCCATTTCATCTTGGGAGCTTTTTCCTCCAATTCCTTTCAAGAAGTCTTTACACCAGTCCTTTAGATATTCTGGCACATCATTCTTGGCTCTATCGTTCTCTTTGATATTGAACGCAGTGTATTCATTCAGATTAGCTTGAGGATTTGTTATTGCCACTTGATTTTTAATTGAAGAGGATCCTGCGGGATGCCCAATAAGCTTCTTAGGTGAGATTTCCAACTTCGGGGTAGATTGCACTGTTGTGTATTCAATGCCTCAACCAATGCATCATTTGATTCTTTCTCTGATTCAACATGTAGCCCAGACAACTTTGTCATGATATCATTCACCATATTAAACTAGTTTTGCAGGATGCAATCTACGGTTGATTTCTGTGTCTGCTCTATTTTCTCTTCTTAGTCCTATTGCATTTTTAGTAAGTTCTCTTGCATTTCCTTTTTTATCTGTTCAAATTTTCTTGCAGTAAGCCTCGTGTGTTGTGAGGGTTTGGAGATTTTTCGTTCTAGTATCTTCTGCCACACAATCCTCCATGAATTACTTTTATTATCTCTTTAGATATGAATGCATATTATTTATAACATATTAAAAATAAACCAGTAATTGGACAACTCTTACACATACTGCTCTTGTAGATTGTCTCCTTGTTCTTTTTTCCTTACTTCAGACTAGTCACGCACATTTGCATAATTCTCTTCTTTGTTTAGGACACTTTTCTCCATCGATAAAGTCTTCCAATCTGACGAACACTTACAGATCAATCACCCCTTTTTGATGTTATGTACATGCGATATGAAGAAAAAAGGGGAAAAAATAAAAAAAACAAGCAAATCAGTTTGTCAAAATAAATACATGGAATTGAAAAAATCCATAAAAAGGTAAACAAAATAGTCATACCCCCATGCGCTCAACCCAAACATTATTTATTAAAATGGTTCATACTTAGACATGTTTTCTACCCACATGCATTTATTTGAAAATTAAAACCTAACCGCATACTTTTCTAGTTCACATGTTTTTATTCGAAAAGAATAAATCTATTCTACAAATTTAGAGTAAAGAGAGAAGGTTAGAGTAAGTTCCTCCTTTGTGTACACCTATTTTGGTACCTATTGGCGGATAGAGGTTCGGCATGACTCTACCTATGCTGATCATTCTATGGTTCACTACATGCATGGTTTCAACTCTATCAGGGAAGGATACTCGAATTGTCCTTGTTGTTGGTGTCCCCTTGGATTACCAAACCCTAAATCCTAACCCATTATAGGCATGAACGAAACAAGTTGAATTCCAGGGGAGTCACTTCCCTATACCTATACCTATACGAGGAATAAATCCCTACGAAGATATAAAGCATGTATACCCCAGAGGTTATTTGCTAAGGCTCATACAAAGAATAAATTCTTACGAGAGCAAAAAGTTCACCCCCTAATTACTTGGGACGAAGCTTGTGTATAGAGCTTATGTCATGCAAATGCACGTGAAGAATGTGAGGAGAAACATACAAACCTTCAACCCAAAAAGGAAAAAAATAAAAGAAGCACTTTCGAAAGAAAATTTGATGGAGCTGAAAACATGAATTGAAACATTAATATAACAATTTACAATAAAGAATTCATAATATTAAAAATTCAACAAGTGGATCATAAGCTAACTAAAGATTCAAACTTATAATTTTCACCACTATAACAATGTATAAACGATTGACGACTTGACTCTCTTAAGTGTCCCCAGCAGAGTCGCCAAGAGGTCATAACATTCATTTTATTTTAATTTTTTTAATTTTAAAAGAAGATTTGGTTACGACTTATTTCAAAAATAGTTATTCTAAATTAGTTCGATTAAGTTGATTTGGAATCACCATCGACCTTTAGGTTAGGTAGGTCGAATACCTAAAAACGTCTTTCAAACGAATTTAAGAAAAACATTTAAAAGAAAAAAATTGATATGTGCTTACCAAAAATTCATTTTAAAGAGGGAGTCGATTACACGTGGGGAAAACTAAACACTACAACAACGCCCAAAATTGATACCTAGTCGCTTATACATTGTCGTGGCAGTGGAAACTATAAATTATAATATAAAATTAAAGTATGATCAATTTGTTGAATATTAATTAATTTGTTTCAAATTATTTATTAGGGAACATTCCTTAATTTGAGAAGAAATCACAAGATTTGAACATCCTCCAATAGGAAGGTTATCCCATCTATTTCTCCTCTATTCGAGAAATATCCACTCTTCAACGTTATCAAGAAAATCAACCATCGAATATAAATTGAATATTGATAAATGCATAAAATATCATAACATACTATTCTAAAAAAACATGCATTTTAAACTCAATTTATTTCAATTCCACCTTTCGTTCGAATGTCGTCTTGAATCGCACTACTTTTATCAAGTTGTGCTTTTCACGCCCAATCTACGAAGAGTGTCCTAAAAAATGGATACGAGTAGGAAATCTAATAAAATTTTATTATCGAATGTTAAAGGACTTTTATGATTTGAATAAATGGTGATTTTAAAGAGTATAGATCTAACTAACATTCATTGGGTTAAAATATAACATTCACACTAAAAGAATCCACGGGTTGTTAATAAAGGTCCTAAATAATATCAAATCTAAATCAAAACAGTGGTAACATTTTCCATACAATGAACATAAGGGATCAAAATGAACTAAAACGTAAATTATCAACCAAAATAAAAAAATAAACCAAAATACATATCAAAGCCAAAATAAGGGCTAAAATACACTGAATCACAAATTAACAAGCATAAATGAGTATTTAACCAAGAGATAACAACAAATAAATAGTGACCAAAATACAAGCCTAATAAAATTTAAAGTTTCAAAAATATAAAAGTGAAACTTGCATTCAGTGACCAAAATGAGATATTACAAAACAAGGAGGCCCCAAAATGGGATTTAACCAAGTG